ACTCCTGTATCCCTTGGGTAAATTCCTAGCAGTGCTATTGCTAACATAACAAATTTCTATTCTACTTGCTAGAGACTACTGACACTGTCACGGGAAACAGGTTATCAGTCCACTGGCCTGAAGGAGGTGTGACTTAAATGGGGATCTAAAGGTCAGAAAATATATGGCATTACACTAAGTGCTGGGAATATAAAGATTCTTTTTTTTTTTTTTTGAGAGAGTGGGCACGAGTGGGAGAGGGGCAGAGGAAGAGGGAGAGAATCTTAAGCAGGCTCCATGCCCAGCGTGATGCCCAGCGCGGAGCCCAACGTGGGGCTCAATCTCAGGACCATGAGATCATGACCTGAGCCAAAATCAACACCCCATAAAGATAATGCATTATGATTTGGGGCAGTTTACTTGAGTTCTCTCAACCTTAGTTTTTCATTTGTAAAACAGTGATCATAACTACAACATAAAGTTGTCCTGAGAGTTAAGTGAAATAACATACGTAAAGTATTTTAGCATGGTGCCTGGTCTTATAGTAACCACTTAATAAATGGTGGCTTCCAGTGACTTATTAATGGCCAAACAAAAAGACTGTTCAACTCCCTCCTCTAGGCTTCAGTGATAACACACTATGCTGGTTTGCTTTTTACCATTGGCCATTCCTCTGTCTCTGCATCTCCTCCATGAAGTCTTTATTACTTTCAACCAGGTTTGGGCTCTGTCTTTTGAACCCTCAGATCACTTTGTACTTCTCCTGAGGCAAGGTATTTCCCTTGCTCTGAATCACAGAGTACACTACTTCATTGCCTGGCATTTATTTATTCCTGTAGATTTTACTGAGTACCTAATGTAAGTCCTACAAGTACTAGGGATACAAAAATTAGTATCATTAATACTGTCCTCAAGCATCTTATAGGAGGACAGAACAGGCAAGTAAATAGTATATTATTTGAAGTGCAGTTAAGTCATAAGGTAACAGTATGCCTAAGATCCTCTGGAAGCACAAAGACGAGTTATTTAAATTAGACTGGGAAAATCGGGAACAGGATCTTGGAAAACATATTAGTATATGAGGAGCTAGTACACAAATATCTGTTATATGAATGAATGGACTATGAATAGGAACTAACTAGATGAAGATGGTTCTCATCAGGTCCAGAGAAAAAGCAGGAGAAAAGGCTTGGAGTACAGATGTTAACAAGATTTCCTGAGAGACAAAAGATGAAGCTGGAAAGCCAAGGCAGGGTTGGGTGTTCCAGACATAGGAGTCTTAACCTGACTCCAGAGGACAGATGACTGAATGCCAATAAAGGCTTTTAAGTAGTAAAGGGGTATAATCAGATTTGCACTTTAGCATAAGTCTGGCAGTTCAGGGAAAATGGATTCCATGACAGCTTGGCTAGAGACAGTAAGTCCAGTTGGAAAGATGTTGTGATAATTTAGATAAATTATGAGAACCAGAAATGTTGAAATGGAAGATGAATCAAGACGGATACTGACTCACCTTAAACTTTGGCTGAACTGAGTTATTCATATTTGTATCGTCTGCAAACAGTGCATTTTACACTTAAAACCCGCTACAGATACCTACCTGTAGACATTTGTCGACTACTGTCATTGAAACCTAATTAGGGAACTGCAGCTAGCAGCCAGCTGAGTCACTTCCGGTACAAAGATACCTAAGTAAAAGCACCTTTTCCCATTACACAAGTCAAAAGAAACAGGTTTATTATTCAAACCTGGAGAGGAACAACAGTGAATACAAACACCGCGCACTGCAGAAAGACTTTGAGACGTCTCCATTCTGGTCTTTTTCACCCCCAAATGTTTAAACAAGGTCTTTCAAAGGGTCATGAGACCCCGCCCTGTGCGCCCAGTCGAATGCCTTGAATTTCTTTTCTCTTTCTGTTCAAGTTAGCTTGCTGCAACTTGTGGCCAGGCCAGCCTTTTTCACCCACCCGTTTCCCAGTTTTCACTGTGTCGTCGTATAAACAGCTAACCGCGGGAGTTTGAGAAAAGAGTACTATCACAGACTGAGGAAATCCAAGGGGGAGAGGTAGCTGTTTTGAGGTTTCTAACGTTTAAGACTCCCTGACCTTGCCAAATTTCTCACAACCCCACCTCCACCCCACCTCTTGCTGTGGCGCTCCCTTCTGAAGTTAGGAGGATCCTTTCTATAGTTAGTAGCAAGCTGTATCTGCACCCAGAAACTACAAAAGGGTTTGTTTTTTAACTTACCCTGACAGCCGCCATATCTGTGACCTTCTCCGTCTAAGTTTTCATATGGTGGGCGGAGAGGGACAAAACAATTCAACTCTGCTCCACTCACAAGCCCCGCCTGGTTACGTCTCGTCTACTGGTTCCGCCTTTTCTCTACCCTCCAATGCGGCTCTAGGAAGCTGCTACCATTGGTCAGCTGTCTTCCAGTAAAACCGTTCATCGTTGTGACTGACTGTTTCTATCCTTGATAAAGCCTTTCAGAATATCCTCCATAATCCAGTTGAAAGCTATTTGGCTGGGTGCAGAAGTTTGTACTATTTTCGTTATTTCAGGCATATGTGATTTGTCTAGGTAAGGATCTAAAACCCAAGTCCAGGTGCTTTTATATCTATAAGTCAGGTCCAGGCAAATTGAACAAACCTTTCTTAAAAATGAAAGGAGAAAGGAAAAGAGTTTTATTCAAGCCCAAATTAAAACAGCTGCCCTTATACACACTCTTCACAAAGAAGAGAATGCTCCGGAGAAGGAACTTTTGATGCAGGTATATATATGTTTTGTTTTGTTTTTTCCATAAAGAGTTACAAATCATCCTGAGGAAAGACATTTCAGAAGGTTAAAGACTTTATCTTATGTTGTTGATATGTGCAAGTCTGCATGACTAATCTTTTGGGAACCAGGGAGATTTTCTTTCTTTTTCTTATCTTTATGTTTGGAATGCTCCTTTCTGGTTTTTTGTTTTTTTGTTTTTGTTTTTGTATTTTTTTTTTTTTTTTTTTAGCGAAGCATATGTGCAATATGTGCTTGGGGCAGAAATAGAGTCCATGCTTTGAAGTTTGCAGTCATTTTGACCTTCGTAAACGTTACAGAATACTTTCCCTGGGAGCCCAGCAGCAGGACCCACAAACACATGAAAAGTTGAAAATTTCCTTTATCAGTCACAAAAAGAACATGTTACCTCTGCAATACATGATCAAGTTCTTTCATTCTAAGACTATGTCACTGAGCCTACTATATGCCAGGCACTTGTTCAAAATACAGAACAAAAGAGCTTATGTTTCCAAGAGGAAAAGACAAATGTAACAAAGTGCCAACTGCTAAGAAGGAAAATAAAATAATATGGGGATAAGGAGAGAATTCACTTGTTTAAATAGGTTAGGGAAAGGCTTTCCAACAAGGTGACATTTGAGAAAAGTCCTGAAGGAATTTAGGGAAGAGCGTTTCATGTAGAAAGAACAATGAAGAAAGGCCAGTGTGGCTGGTGTGATAAGTTGAAAAGGAGTGAAATAACACACTAAGTAGGGGCTTTTTGTGCCACCACACAGACTTTGGATTTGATTCTGATTAGGAGGGGAAGTCAATGGAGGGTTTTGAGCAAAGATGTGCCATGATCTAAGTTAGATTTTAAAAGGATCATTTTGGTGCTATAAGGAGAATATTCTGTGGATAGGTGCAACATATTCAACAGGAGCAAGATCTTCCCTAGGCCTCCAGTGAGTGATTCTAAGGAGAGAAGATGCTCATAATCTGACCATCAACATACCTAATATTAATTCATTTATTCATTCAACAAATATTTAAGTGCAAACTATATGCCTGGCATCAGTAACATACCTAACATATTTGACACTGTAAGCAAATCACAGTTTTAAAATTTTTTTAACGTTTATTTTTGACAGAGACAGAGCACAAGTGGGGGAGGGACAGAGAGAGACACAGAATCCAAAGCAGGCTCCAGGCTCTGAGCCATCAGCACACAGCCTGACACAGGGCCTGAACCCGTGAACTGAACCGTGAGATCATGACCTGAGCCAAAGTTGGACGCTCAACCAACTTAGCCACCCAGGCACCCTGACACCTTAAGCAGATCATTTTTTAATGGCTTCCTCTTCTACGTAAAAAAAATATTTTAAGGAAAAGTGATGACAGAATAATATTTTATTGTATAATATATACCACATCTTCTTTACCATCTATCAATGGACACTTAAGTTCCTTTCATATCTTGGCTATTCAGCCATAAAAAAGGATGAGATATTGCCATTTGCAATAATATGAATGGATTTAGAGGGTATTATGCTAACTAAAATAAGTCAGATACAGAAAGACAAATTCCATATTATTTCACTTATATGTGGAATTTAAATAACAAAACAAATGAATAAACAAAAGCAGAACCAGACCTATTAATACAGAGAACAAATTGATGGTTGCCAGAAGGGAGGGAGTAGGGGATGGGCAAAATGAGTGAAGGGGAATGAAAGATACAGACTTCCAGTTAAAGAATAAATATGTCAGGATAATAAAAGGTACAGCATAGGGAATATAGTCATTGTATTGTAATAGCCATTTAATAGTCACCATTTATGGTGACAGATGGTACTATACTTGTGGTGAGTGTAACAATGTATAGAGTTATTGACTCACCATGTTGTAAACCTAAAGGTGTACAACTGTACTCAATAATAAATAAATATTAAAAAAAGAAATGATGATGAAATGAAACTTGTAATAAAGGCCAGAAAAGACACTGAAAAAAGTAATGGATCAATGTTTTCTAATTGCATTAATGTGTTTTTTTTATTTTATTTTTTTTATCTTTTATTAATTTAAATTTTATTATTCTTTTTTAATGTTTGACTGATTTTATTTAAAGATTTTTATTTTATTTTAT